GAGAGAGAGAGAGAGAGAGAGAGAGAGAGAGAGAGAGAGAGAGAGAGAGAGAGAGAGAGAGAGAGAGAGAAATGCATTTTTCTTCCAAAAATTCTTGTTTTTGTGGGCGAAGCCCCAGCAGGTATTCTAGCAATTTTTATTTTCTGTTCCTCTTAGGCTCCTACCCTTCTCCCCAAACTGACATCACCCGCCTTCCTTCTGCTTTCAGTGCATGTTTCCTTCTCTCTCTCTCAGGTTATGCCCTTTGCTTCTTTGCCTGCTCCCAGCTTCTTTTTTCTGCTTCCTGCTCTGCTTCTTGTATGTTTGTTATGGGCAACGGATTTGGCCGAACCTCTTCTTCAGGAAGCGTGGTCGTTTTGGACACAGAATGTGCTGCTCCCCACGAATAGACTGGAGCATTCTGTTTGTACAAAAAAAAAAGAAAAGGAAGAGTGGTGGTATACCTTTCTCGGCCATTTGGCTAAGATCAAGTGTAGTGTCTGTTCTGATCAGTTTGAAAAAGAAAAAAGAAAAAGAGGGGAGTCGCTGGTTCTTGGAGGAGAAGAAAAAAAGCAAAGACTGTCAGTTCTATTCCTCAAAACTATCCATGACTTCTCTGCTTTCTGTCCCAGAAGTATCCATGACTTATCTCCTCTCTTTCACAGAACTATCCATGATTCATTTGCTCTCCTCTATTTTTTCTGAAAGCTATCCGTCAAATAGGGTGATACTCCAGAATACGACTAAGCCTTAGGGAGGGAAGATCGATCTCTCAAAATCTCTACCTTTTGACACTGTCCATGGCTCACCTCTTTTGTTCCTCAAAAGTATTTAAGAGACTAATGCCAGAACGACGCTGGCCGGAGCTGGGGCGTAGCCCTGTAACCTGCAATTGGCAGGAGTGGGAGGCCTTGTAGAGAGATCTGGGGTTTGCTGAGGGGGGAAAGCAATCCAGTGGCGAATCGGGGGGGGCTGCCTTGACAACCTAGGGGGCTGGGGATAGTCTAGGTAGCGAGAAGAGTTCAGCTATGGTAGGTGTTGGTTGGGTTGGTCTTGTCTCTGAAGTTGCAATATTCTGGTATAGGGAGGGCTAGGTGTTGTTCCAGGATTAGGATGCCAGAATTGCTRGTATAGCACAGTCCTKSTAATTTTTCACCATCATCAGTTGCATCATCATCATTCGTAGCTGTGAAGAAAACTTTTCAGATGTTCAAATAAAGAGTGAGAGTCCGGAAAAAATCGAAGAGGGACGGACGATGGGCTGCGCTGAGGGGTAGTAGTTTTGTTAGGGGGCCACCTGAGAAGGGCAGTAGGCCCTGGGTATAGGTCAGGAGGGCGGGGCTGGGACGACGCAGGCCGGTGCTGGAGCGCTTGGAATGCTCTGTAACCCGAGGGAGCCCGAGGGAGCATGAGGCTTGGGGAGTCCTGTCGAGAGAGGAAGGCAGAACCAGCCCGTCCAACGTAGCTGTTGCCGGGGTTTATCCCTGTCACCTAGGGGCATTGCAGCTACAGGGAGTGTCGAGGGTGGGAGACACTTCCTGCCGACTATACCAGGCTGATCAGGGCTGGGGCATGGCAGTGCCCTGTCACCTAGCATAGGGGGGCTTGAGATCAGCTGCGTCTAGGTTCGAGGACTGATTATTGGGTCTGCGGCCTTCTTCACCTGGTGTGTGGGTAGTTTGTTTGTTGGTGTTAGCGTGGCTTGTCTGCTCTCCTTTCGTCTTTCTCAACGACTAGGTTGTGTAGTAAAAGCACTCAGACATAAATTTCTCTGAATTTCCAACAAAAAAAAAAGAATTCCAAAAAGAAGAGAATAAGGAGAGTGGGAGAAGATGGTGGGTTATCACGCGTCCTACCAGTGAGGGGGCTAGCTGGTAGGACGGGAGTATGGTACAGCAGCAGCAGAGATGGTGGCTCCGCTGCAGTCAGTCTTGYCGGAGGGAGGTAAAGYGGATTGATGGGGGTTCTCTTGGAGTCGTCTTTGAATCATGAAGTTGTCATAGACATGGCTGAAGTAGCGTTAATTCCCTGAGCCAAAGCCGGGTGAGGGCCCCGGTATCTCAATTTTCAATTTCCATTTTTAGGCCAATTGGATTTTTCTAGTAGGTTCCTAGCCTCATTCTCATGAAATTTTCTGACGAGTTTTCTGAATGTACTCGTTATGGGATGCTGGGCCGGGTTCCCAGTTCGTGCCAACTTGTAGGGATATGGTTGTATCTATGGGACGCTGGACCCGGTTTCCAGCAGGTGTTGCTCCCCACCAATAGATGGAGCTTTGTTTCAAAAAATATATATATAATTAAAAAAACTAAAATAAAAAAAATTGTTCCGTTCGTTAAGACCATCCAATGGTGAACTATCTGCTGCTTTTTCTCAGAACTTTCTCAGAACTTTACCTGAATTGTCTGTGATGATCAGGGTGATGCTCCAGAAAATGATGAAGGAAGGGAAGATTGTGCCAGCTGAAGTTACAGTTGGTCTCCTCCAGGCTGCAATGACGAAGAGCGGCAAGAACAAATTTTTGATTGATGGTTTTCCAAGGGATGAAGATAATCGATTGACTTTCCAGAGAGTGGTGAGTTTTTTTTGCCGTTAAATTCCGGTTTCCCCCCTCCCTTTCTCCTGACCCTCTACCCTCTTCTCCATTCCCCCCTCCCTAACTCTATAATCTTTTACCGATAATTTTATTAATTTACTACTTAGTAATTACTAATTAGTAATTCAGAAATTTCAAATTTCATTTTTATTTACCGATAATTTTATTAATTTACTACTTAGTTAGTAATTAGTAATTCAGAAATTTCAAATTTCACTTTTATTTTCCATCTCTGCTATGTTTAGGAATTTTAAGCAGTATAAAATACTAACAATTAAAAGGAAAAGAAGAGGGAAAGCAATGCCCATACACTTGCTTCCCAACAGGACTCCAGAATCCACATTGATTTTAAATGTGAAAACAGTTTTTTTTTTTTTTTATAATTAATTTTCTTTCTCGTTTGGAAAACAGTTTTACATCACTTCCTGCTCAATGCACTCAGGACGTGTCACATACTCTATGCACGTTTCAACCGGTTGCACCCCGCCCATCCTCGAGAGGCAATCCACCATCAAGCCTGTCGGCTCCCACCTATCATCCCACCAACGAGTACCGAGGTCCGCAGACACAGCCCTCGATTATAGTGGCTGCATGCATCCCCTCTGGCTGTTGTGTAGTTCAAGACGGAAAACGAAATACCACCAAGAATTTGAATTTGATTTCCTGGTTACGCTTTTTCAGTAGTCAAAATCTTTCTGGCAGCTGGTCGGTGGGAACCTGAAGTATCTCTCTGTCTTTCCAGACATCCATTCAAATTGAAATGGGAACGACCCAGCGATGATTGGCATGACCCTTTTACAAGGCTCGATACAGACAAGATTGGCATGGCCCCTTTTTCTTTTTGTTTGTTTGTTAACTTTGTTTGTTTGTTTGTTTGTTTGTTTGTTTGTTTGTTTGTTTGTTTGTTTGTTTGTTTGTTTTTTTGGGGGTGGTGGTGGTGGGGAGGGGAGGAACGAAATGCTCCAATCTATTCGTGGGGGGCAACTTGTGCTGGGAACCGGGCCCAGCATCCCATATAGAAAACATATCTGAGAACATTTTTCAGAACCAGATGAATTACCGGCCCGGGGCCATTACCCGGCATCGACTAGTACAAAGAGCCATACTTTCGGAACCAGCTGCGCAAGCAAGGATGACTCACATAAATCGGGAACAAACTAAGCCCCAAACCGGGCCCGGGCCCGGGCCCGGGTTCTACTAGTGTCAGGGGTCGGACTCCTGCTCCTGATCTGTTTACTAACAGTTACATGTGTGTAGTATGGGACATGGTTGGTGTCTGTGTTGTGTGTATTTTGCTCTCCCCCCCCCCCCCTCTGCTAAATGACTTCCATCAAGTTCTTCTTCTTCTTCTTCGTTTTTTTTTTTTTTTGTTTTTTTTTTTGCACATACAGCTCCAGCCGTCTATTGGTGGCGGAGCAGCGCCTGCTGGAAACTGGGTCCATGATTTTCAGGAAAAAACAAAATCTTTTTTTTTTTTTGCACATACAGCTCCAGCCGTCTATTGGTGGCGGAGCAGCACCTGCTGGAAACTGGGTCCATGATTTTCAGGAAATAACAAAATCTGGCAGGCAAGTAGCCAGTTGCGTGCTTAGTCAAAAATGGCGAGGTGCGTTGAACTGCGTTCCTCCTTACCGCAACCTTTGCGACAAAGTAAGTAGTCAACTGCTGGCCTTCTTCCTTGTCTGCGACTTTCGATAGCGATCATTCAGCATCGTTTCAGGAATCAGCGCCGTTATCTTCTTCGCCTCCAATCCACTTGTTAGAAGCATCAAGCCAATCAAGAACGGCTTGTTGTGCAAGCTAGTACACAGAGCGAACTTCACCGTCTGCTCACAATCAACGACAACGATCAACGTCATCAGTCGATTTCACAGCCCCAGCATCTCTCTCTCTCTCTCTCTCTCTCTCTCTCTCTCTCTCTCTCTCTCTCTCTCTCTCTCTCTCTCTCTGTGATGTGTCTTTTGTCTGTCGTTGGGAAAGTCCAACGAAACCATCTGCCAGTCCGTGTTTTGTCCTCTTCATTCTTTCCAGCTGTGGTTCACGAGGCGGTTGTGTTTGGAAATGTATTATGAATTTATACTGTTATTAAACTTATTATTTATTAATTTATTATAGTCATAAATATTCTTATAAAATAATTGTGTGGGAATGGAAGCGCTCTCGTAATCTCTTTTCTGAAGTTTTATCTCATTTGTTTCTACCTGGTGTACAGAGAGCGATGGGTTCTGTCCTGCTCTCCTCCTCCTCCTTTTCCCCCCTCTTCTCTCTCTCTCTCTCTCTCTTTTTTGTTCTTGTTTCTTTTCATTTCTTTTATCTTGGTGCTGACTAAATCCTTACTTGTGCTTTGTTTTCTGTGATCCAGACGGGCATCATTCCAGCGTTCGTTCTTTTTTTCGACTGTCCTGAAGATGTCATGGAGAAGAGACTGCTGAACCGTGGGGAGGTACGGTGATGATGATGTCGAAAGTTTAAGCCAAGCCTACTACAGTACTAGTACCAGCTTCACCCAAATACAACGTACAGCCATTACAGCTGCATTTGGGACAACTTTGAGTCTAGATACAGCAATAATGACTGTACTTTGTATTCAGGTGAAGACGGTAGAATGGGGGAGAGACAAGGATAATGCTTGTCGACTCCAATTTTCGTTGACTCCATTTTTATTTTTATTTTTTTCACTGCACTTTTCACAGTGCATACACTCCACTCAGCTCCTGCAGATTACTGTATTATTTCTGTCTCTTATACACATCTAGATGTGTATAAGAGACAGGGTGAAGACGGTAGAATGGGGGAGAGACAAGGATAATGCTTGTCGACTCCAATTTTCGTTGACTCCATTTTTATTTTTATTTTTTTCACTGCACTTTTCACAGTGCATACACTCCACTCAGCTCCTGCAGATTACTGTATTATTTTTGTTTCAATTCTTTTAAAGGTTATTATAATAATTATATATCCTACTTAATACTCCAAGGGAAAATTACCATTGCCTGTCGGCAGATATTCGACCTGCCCCCCACCATGCCCTTGGAAATGGAGTAGAATGGAGGGAGGGCATGGCCTATCTCAGTTGGTACACCCAACGTACTCTGTGGAAATGCAGACCCGAGTTCGAATCCAGATGCAGTCAGATTAACAGAAATAATGTACTTCTGAATTACCTACTGCCGGTCAATTCAATGATCATATCTCAAGCCCGTCGCCCCTTCTTTTTTTTTTTTTTTTTTTTTTTTTGAATGCAATGGTGGACATCTCTGCAAAATAATATTCTGAAAGACTGAAACTGTAAAAATACTAAAAATCCATAATAAATTAAATTATGAAATAATAATATTAAATATATAATAAATTAATAATTATAATTAGTTTTAAACAAACATATGAGCTTACTCTGAAGAGTCTGAAGTTACTGTGAAGTAGTATGAACTTCGAAGTTACTATGACGTTTTCAACTTTTATGATTTTTTTTTTTTTTAATTTTTTATAAATTTATTTAGTATTCCTTGGTTAGGCTTGGGAAGTTGGGAAACAAGAAACCCCCAGACGCTATTCTATATCCAGAAAAAGGACTTGAACTGTTGACCTGTTTATGAACAGTTAAATGATTAAATCAACTTTTTTTTTTTTTTTTTTTTTTTTTTTTTTNAAGACAGACCTAGAGATCATCGGACCATACTCAACACACAGCCCGCACGCAGACACTCAACACTCATCACACCCCTAATGGCCAACCACTCAGGCAGTCCTCCCCCCAAAGCCCGCTACCACCATGCCACGATCATGGACCTAACCCTTTGGGTGGTGCACAGGCAGTGTCTGTAATAAGTACCATGCGTCAGCCCAAGGGGGCCGCTATGAAAGCGCCTAACGGCGGACGTGTGTCAGGCCGCAGAGTTTTGAACCTACGACCTCCTACCACAATGCGCATTTCCAGCCGGTGCTGTAACCACTGAGCCATCCAAGTCCCATCATATTTCAATTTTCAACCTCTGTTTTTTTTTTTTTTTTTTTTTTTTTTTTTTAAAAATAAAATGATTAAATTAACTTTTTTTTTTTTTTTTTTTTTTTTTTTTTTGTGGGGGGGGGGCGAGGAAAATCAACTTAAATGCGTGGTACTGTTCAGCCACGAAACAGGGACGCTGGTGCCGTGTTTTGTTTTCAAGCTTTGGTGTTTCGTTTTCTTTTTTTTTCTGTAAAAAAGGTCCATGTCGGGGTAGAGGGTGGATGCTAGGCCTCGGGAGGTGTCTGTCGTCGTACTCAACAAGTGAGGGGACCGGATGGTTTGTGACAACCCCAAGGACAGTCTTCCCCCAGGGGGTGTCATTTGTGACCTGTTATATTCTAATCTTATCGCAAGTCGAGCCCTACAGCGGTGCGACCCAGACCTCTCTATCTAGACCTAGACCTACACCAGCCCGCGCCTTCCGAGGGGTCGTAGACACTTTCCCCCGGGCGCTACTATAGGGGCACCCTGAATCTCGAGGACGGACCAGATACAGGAGGGGTCACGGACATACACAGTCATTCCCCCCCCCCTGTATCACATCGTGCAGACTCTATGGGTGGTGAGGCCACCATACTGCATCAATGCGACAACCCTCCTCCGCCTGCCTGAGATGACACCCCTACCTAGAAGCCCTTCCCCAGACCCACGCCCCAGTTGACCCCTCAGTGGGAACTCAGACAGACACCAACCCGGATGAAGCCCAGCCCACAAGCATCGAGAGATCAACCTGAAGCCCACCTGTGGGAGTCGTATATGCCTAACACCCAACCACTACCACTACTGAAGGGGGTGTGGAGAGCGGTGTCTAAGCGGGACCTAGGATCGTACGATGTGGGGATGGACTCTCATGGGTGGATCATGAGGCCGGGAAACAACCATGGTACCCAGATGCACCCAGATACACCCAGATACACCCACAGAGAAGCCCATACGAACCGAGCGGCGCATGCAGATGGGCCCACAATCCCTAGACAGAGTCCTATCTACCCATCCCTCCCCCCCCCCCCCCCCCCCCCCCCCACTCCCTCCCTATCTATTTATCATCCCACCCCCCATCTATCCCCTCTACCCCCGCCCATGATGAGTACACAAGACAGACCTAGAGATCATCGGACCATACTCAACACACAGCCCGCACGCAGACACTCAACACTCATCACACCCCTAATGGCCAACCACTCAGGCAGTCCTCCCCCCAAAGCCCGCTACCACCATGCCACGATCATGGACCTAACCCTTTGGGTGGTGCACAGGCAGTGTCTGTAATAAGTACCATGCGTCAGCCCAAGGGGGCCGCTATGAAAGCGCCTAACGGCGGACGTGTGTCAGGCCGCAGAGTTTTGAACCTACGACCTCCTACCACAATGCGCATTTCCAGCCGGTGCTGTAACCACTGAGCCATCCAAGTCCCATCATATTTCAATTTTCAACCTCTGTTTTTTTTTTTTTTTTTTTTTTTTTTTTTTGAAAACTCCCAGGCTGTTGTAGAGGCCACGGTGGGCACTTCACCAGTGCAGTGGAGGCCATAACCCCTTAAAATACACAGTCACACCAACCCAATGGGTAAGATAATTACATACATACCCCTTATTACCCAGGGGCCAGGAATAAGAAACGCAGTGAGCAGAGGTGGTCTTGGGCCACGTGTGCAAGCGCAATAACATGTTTTGTAACTGCACACAGAGGGTAAATTAACCACATATACTCAAATTGAAACGCAGCAATTAAGTTGAATTAACACTGCCAGGTTTTTTTTTTTTTTTTTTTTTAAATTGAAAAGGGCCGGGAATCGGGACCGGTGTTGCACCTCCCCTACCTTCCCTCCCCCTAGGAACATCAGCAGTGTCCACTAATGGTGCCCAGGTAGGTACATCATATCTCAAAGACTCAAAGGTCGTTGACTCGTTGCTCTTGAAAATAAAAACAAAAATTGAAAATTTGAAAAAAATGATAAAAATCCATGGCATGCTGATAATTTTTTTCAGTCTTAAGAAATTTATTACAAATCGGGCCCAATGCGCAGGTAATTGTTTTTTCTTTTTCTTTTTTATAAGTTAACTTTGTCCTTTCGCCTTTTTGCTTAAATTTCTGTTCTGCCTGTCTCGTCCAGGGACGAATAGACGATAATGTTGAGACCATCCGAAAGCGGTTCAAGGTGAGTAGTTCTGGGATACTGATATGTTATTATATTATACTGTGATAATTCTGCAGTGTGTGTAGTACCCTTTCCGCCATTTTGTTTTGTTTTTTGGGACTTCTTTTATTATTATAAGTTTTCTGTCTTTTGAACTCTTTTCTAATTGTTGTTATCCCTTTGCTGTGCTGGGACCCTCTGTTGCTGGGTCTTGAGACTTCAGCTTTTGTTTTTTTGTCTTTTTCTTCATGAGGAGAGGGAAGATTTGAAAAGAAAGGGAAGAAAGAACGACAATGCCATGATGCGGCATTGATGCCACCTTTTTGTTTTCATAAATAATGGGTAATTTTTACAGGGGGGAAGAGGAGGAAGTGAAGGAAGAGGTGGAGGAAGAGGAGGAGGAGGAGGAGGAGGAGGAGGAAGGAGTAAGCAGGGGAGGAAGAGGAGTTGGAAGAGGAGGAGGTGGAGGAGGAAGAGGTGGAGGAAGAGAAGGAGGACGAGAAGGAGGAAGAGGTGGAGGAAGAGGAGGAAGAGGAAGGAGTAAGAAGGGGAGGAAGAGGAAAAAGTGGAGGAAGAGGAGTTGGAAGAGGAGGAAGAGGTGGAAGAGGAGGAAGTGGAGGAAGAGGTGGAGGAAGAGGTGGAGGAAGAGATGGAGGAAGAGGAGGAGGAAGAGTTGGAGGAGGAAGAGGAGGAAGAAGGGGAGGAAGAGGAGGAAGTGGAGGAGGAGGAAGAGGTGGAGGAAGAGGTGGAGGAAGAGGAGGAAGAAGAGGAAGAGGAAGGAGTAAGAAGAGGAGGAAGAGGGAAAAATGGAGGAAGAGGAGTTGGAAGAGGAGGAAGAGGAGGAAGTGGAGGAAGAGGTGGAGGAAGAGGAGGAAGAGGAGGAGGAAGTGGAGGAAGAGGAGGAAGAGAAGGAAGAGGAGGGGGAAGAGGAGGATGGGGAGGAAGAAGGATGGGGAGGAAGCGGAGGAAGTGGAGGATGAAGAGGAGGATTCTCTGAGGGCAAGAATGAGAGAAAGCAAGGACAATGGAGAGAGGCGTGTCATTTAAATTAGTACTATTTTGGTAGTAGTAGTAGTAGTAGCTGTTTTACAGTTTAGGGTTTAGGGAGTGGAATGGAGGGCATGTACATATAAAATGTCATATATATAGTTGGCATGATATGGAGGACAACCATGTAAATAGTAGTAGGAGCAGCCAGAAAGTGTTTTATTGTTATTTAGAGAGAGGTCTTTTCCACTTTTCACTGTCAAACTGTGAGTGAAGTGCCAATAAAGGACGTGAAGAAAAAGTCGAAGCATGTTCATTTAAGTTTTGAGTTTTGAGTCATGGGCAATTTAAGGGGTTTCTAACTTTCTAATTGGTCTGAACTTTTCTATCTAACTTTTTTTAAAAAAAAAAAAAAAAAAAAAAAAAAAAAACTGATTTCTTAATCTTGTCCTCGGTTGTTTGTTTTGCAGGTGTTCTCCTGTCAGAGTGTCCCTGTTGTGGATTATTACGAGAAGCTTGCAAAAGTGCGAAAGGTGAGAAAAGAGTCAAGACTCAAAATACGATAAAAGCGAGATTCCACATCTGGATTTGGAGATACGCAAATCTGGATTCAGAAAAGACTCTAAATTTTCAAAACTATGTTACAATCCGGACAAAGCCGCGGGCCCAGGGGCGCAGCCGCCAAGGTGCAAGGCAGTCCGAGCACAAATTTTGAAAAAAAAGATGAAAAAGAAAAGAATTCAAAAGCTTTTGAAAAGGCACATTTTGTGTAGACGGATAGTACAAACAACCTTTTGCTGACGAAGATGAAAAATAAAATGGAAAAAGAGAGTCAATACACAGTGTTATACACCCCTTTTAAACCCCTCTAATGAGTCTAATCTCTTTCCTCACCCCCAATACCCCCACCCCCACCCCCACCCCCCTCCTCCCCCCCGTGCCCCCACTCAACTTCCAAGGGTTTTCAGGAAAAAGCCACGTTTGCATGTTCTGGACAAGCGTATTCACATAGCGCGATCAGAAAACAAAAGAAACAAAATTCCTGGGCGCTTTCCAGC